TATTCTGTTTTTTCTCATGGTTAGAGTTCTGCCGTTTATCTAAGAGAAGCTTCATTAAATTTACAGCTACAGATTTTTCTAATTTAATTACAACAGAAATTTTACATCTTAATCTGTAGGCCAACAACTTACTTAACTTTTTTAAACATTTAAATGAACGGGTCACAGCTGATTTTTGTTTAGGTGTGTTATCTATTTAGAAATATCTGTTGAAAAAAACTCTTCCTGCCCAGTGGAATAAATTCCTTTTGCAAAACTTTATTGAAAACTGACAGTGTTTAGTGAGTCTGTATCAGTTTCTCTTTCCAGTTCACTGACTTGTGTTTATGTCCTTTTGCTAATACTAATAAAGACAAACTTAACTTCTATAGCTTCATTCACTTTTAAAATATTGTTTATTATTTCTTTTATTTTGAAGATTATAATTACAATGTTCCCTTTTCTTTCATCCCTCTAAATCCTCCCGCAATACCCTCCCTTGCTCCTTTTCAAATTCATGACCCTTTTATAACTGATTATTATTGCGTGCATATGTGTGGTTGTGTGTGAAAATTCCTAAATATAACCTCAGTATACATCTTGTTGTTTGTATGTATATTTTCAGAGCTGACCTTTTGGTGACACTTTGATTTTTCTCCCATTTCCATAATGGATTAGGCTTTTTATTTGAATTACTACTTAATTATATAAAATATTGATTACTAAAAATCTTTTATTCAAATTCAGGAACCGGAAACTAACTGATACAGACACTATGGCTTTTATAATCAATTTCCCTATCTTCAGGCTGTATGCTAATTTTAAGGCTTGATCCACTCACAAGTCTTCTCTTCTCCCCCTCACCCTTTCCTTCTTCATTTCCTGTCTCCCTCTCTGTGTATGGGCTGGAGGCAGGGGCTACCTGGAAGACTACGGGAAACAAAAGTTTTCAAGGACTTCTATCTAATCACTTTTGTCTTTCCAACACTTTCTTCATAACTTGGGACCCTCACTACATAGCTAATTTTGAAATTAAGTTCTTTCTTTCGCTAGGACATAGTTTACCTGTGTTTCTAAAACTGTTCTCTTGGAGAATTAAGACAAAAACTGAGCCGGGCGGTGGTGGGGCACGCCTTTAATCCCAGCACTCGGGAGGCAGAGGCAGGCGGATCCCTGGAAGTTCGAGGCCAGCCTGGTCTACAAGAGCTAGTTCCAGGACAGGCACCAAAGCTACAGAGAAACCCTGTCTCAAAAAAAAAAAAAATAAATTGAACTAACTCCATCATGCGGTACCACAGATCTCAAAACTTTCTTTTTGCCTTACCTCTTCATTACTGAAAAAAATGAATCTTCATCCATCCAATTATTTCTTGAGGTGTGTGCCTCCCACAGCCTACATTGGTACAACATAAGTATCTTGTTGATTTTGCTTTTTCCACACCTCAAAAAATCTCCTCCTCTCCTACACATTCTCTAACAGCATTTAATCCACTTCTTTATAATTGACAACATTTGCTGCAGGTTTGATCCTTTGACCTTTAGTCCACCCACACCCAGAGAAACAACTTGTAGCTTAAAGTGCAGATGCTGTGGTATTCTATAGGCTTAAGCATAGTTATGTATACATGTGGTCCAGAATAACATCACTGTGAGTGAAGACCCAAATGCTAAATAAAGAAAATATGTATATCCCTCCTCAGTCATATACTATCAGTGATGTCTCATTGATGACAGAGTTAATTTCTCTCCTAATATATTTTTGTATATTTTACTATAATATTTTATTAATGCCTTGATAATTTTACACACATATACAATGTATTTTGATCATTTTCATGTCCTATTTCTCCCTCTAACTTCTCAAGACCCCCATTCCCCATTCCTGTCCCACTCCCAACTCCTTCTCCTTACCAATGAAGTCCAATTTGTCCTGTTCCTATATCCATATGATCATCCATGTGAGGCCATCCATTTGATTATGGTGGACTTACTAGAGACTAAACATTTAAATAAAACCAACTACCCTTCCTCCAGAAGCTGTTATCTGCCAGTAGCTCATCAGCTAGTGGTGGGGGCTGAAGACCGTCCTTATGTACTGAGCCTCAACTGCCTTGACCTTGTTTAGGTTCTCAGCAGACAACTGTGAATTGATGGTAATACCATGTGTAGAAAATAATGTTTGGTTTCAGTTCTCTCCAAATTCTGGCTTTTACAACTGTTCTGCCCCACCTCTTCTGGAGTGATCCTTGAGTCTTGTTAGGAGGGATGTGTTCTAGACATTTCATCTGTGGATGAATACCTCACAACACTTTTTCTCTCTAAATTGACCAGTTGTATGTCTCTGTATTCATCTCCCTCTATTGCTCAAAAAAAATTTCTCTGATGTGAGAGCTGTACTAACCAATAATACATGCATAAAACTTCAAAGGATAGTGTCATACTATATATTTAGTAGATTCACCCTGTGGCTTGTGAGTGCCACTACCATGAGTTCTTGCCTAGATTTACAGTAGAAGGCAGGCATGCATTCCATGCCATGGACTGAGCCTCATATCCAATCAGAAAGTAGTTGATTGCCTCCATAAGGTTTGTACATGTCCAGGGGCATAAAGTGACATGCAGGACATTATTCTACCTCCAAGTTTTGCAGTTAGATAAAGTGTTGATGAGTTTGCTCCTACAGCAGCCCACTGGAACTTTAAAACTAGAGAGTAGAGACTAGAATATATGATGTCTTCAACAATAGAATCACTTCATTGAGTTCTGGTGTATAATCAAGATCAGTGTCAATGCCTGTAATGTTTTTGAGGCCTCTGGGACTTCTGTACCAACAATTCAAGGTATGGTATAGTACACTTGGCACTAAGGTTTTATTTGGCAACTAGCGTACCCAAGAGACACAATATACCTTATGTATGGCAGTAAGGTAATTTCAATTAAATACACACATATTTATGTGAGTATAAATATATGTGTTTTTACATATGTTTATATATTATATATACATTTTACATGTGTATTTGTATACACCCACATAATAATACATACTTACTTACATATATATCTGCATTTTGAGGAATGACCACCAGGGGGCAGGAATAACCAACTTATAAAGTTCATGTGACTTTTACGAAGGATTGTACACTATTTGTCTTAACTGTATTTTTCAAATATAGAGGATAATTACAAAATATTTTCAATTTTCAGTTGAAGTACTTCCTATGTAGTTATCAACTTGTGACTTCCATTTGGTAAATTTTTTCACTACCGTCTATAAATAATCATGAATAAAATATGCTTTCTGAAATGGTGTCTATTAAAATACATACGTAAAATTAATCTAATAGCATCAAATAGTTCATAATTATCTCAGTCTTTATTTCAACATTTCCCACTGTTTAAATCGCTTTTATTTAACCAAAATATGTTTATTGTGCAGATATAAGTATATCCATACACATATACATGTATGTCTTTGCATTATGTGTATGTATGTGTATATATTGATCTCTACCTTATTGTAAATACATGGTCAATGTTTTCAATGTCTTAATATTAACTACCTCATCTAAATTTGAGGTTTCAAACGTTCCTTATAAAGGATACTTGTCCTTTTTTCAAGTATTTATACCTGCAGGATTTATATTATTCTTCCAAAGTATTAACCTAAGACATTTGACATGACAATTAAAAATGAAAGCAACACTAGATTAAACCAAGATGTAATGCAATGATAGAAACCATTTAAAGAAAGGAGACCATTTCTGTACATACATGAAATAAAACTGTAAGAGTGACTATGACTAATAAAAGCCTATCACACATAGTATTAATACCATTCGACTATTAAAAACACATTCTTTTACAAATAGATACTTCCATATTAATTAGCACAGAATATTTTAGGTACAAAAGCTGTTAAGAAAAAGTTGTCTTACAAATCTAAAGTATGGGTTAACTTTGGAGATTTTACAAGATATAAATACAAGAAGTGGTCATTAAGAGATATGGAAAAGGTGTACAATTGTCCATAACCATAAACTGTCTGCCATGAGCATTTGCAGAAATCAAACTAATGAACAGATGTGATATATAACATAGCAAGAGAAAAAGGGAAGAAAGCAAATTGTCGGCCTAGTTTGCCGATCCTACTCACAATGTAAAATTGTCGAATTCTGCCAAATTATTAATAAGCAAAATAAACGGTACAAAATTCTAGCTGATATTTTCAGAACAGCTATTACCTTCCTCCTTTGCTTTTCTGGTTCCTTCCAACTGTTTCAGCTTGTGGTGTTAGAATTACCACCAACTCAATAACACCTGGGATCACCCAGGTGATGCTCCTCTAGTTATGCCCTTCAGGGATTATTTGTGGGAATATCCATCAATTTTTTTTCAATTACAATTACATTTTGCCTTCCCTTTCCTTCCTCAAAACCCATGCATATACTCCTTGATCTCTTTCACGTTCAAGGCCTCCGTTATTATTAATTGTTATTAGAGTTATGGGCAGGACTCATGGGCATGCCCGGTTTCTTATCTGGGTTATGGCATCCAAACTCCAATTCTAATATTCGAGCAACAAGCACTCTGAATCTCTCTTGGGTTCAGCAAAACATTTATTTTTTTTTTAAGAGAATTTCACTTTTTATTTTTTTCTCTTCTTCCGTTTATTTATTTATTAAAGATTTCTGTCTCTTCCCCGCCACCTCCTCCCATTTCCCTCCCCCTCCCCCAATCAAGTTCCCCTCCCTTGTCAGCCCGTGGAGCTACCAGGGTTCCCTGCCTAGTGGGAAGTCCAAGGACCACCCAGCCTGCTTCCTCGAAATAGTCCTGAACTTTACCCAGGTTGCTAGGAGACAGGACTCCTAACATTCCGGAGGATTTATGAGAGGTGAACTGCACAACCAAACTCAGTTGCTCAGTCCGCTGAAAGATGGACGTGCTATCAGCCAACCAGAGAACCTCTCGATCTCCACCAACCAATTAGAGCGCCAGAACTCCAGCAAACAAGTCTTTACCCTGCAGACTGTGTACCTTTCTGAGCGCCGGCGGCCGCCACTTGGCCCTCCAGTGCTGGTTGTTGGTTGAGCCAGAGAGCCAGGGGGTACCATGGATATCATCCCTAGAGTGGGCTTGGGTACCTGGAAGGTAAGGATACTTACTCTTCCGTCTGTGATCTGGCTAATTAACCGGGCTCGAGCCTGATGAATACTTGCTCAGGAGCAGTCAGGGGCACGGGGTGACTCCTTCCACACCCGGGCTCTGATCAAGGTCCTGACTGGAGAAATAGAGGAGAGGTCGGACTCTCCCTTGTGAAATAATTGTTACAAGGTCCTAAAGCACCTACTCCCTGTCAGTTTGAAAAACAGTCAAGATAAACTATATAAAGCATAGTGATCTTGAACCCGACCTTGTCTTCGATAGTCGTGGACCCCTCCTCCCTCCCCCAGTCTCCAAAGAATCATTTATGCAATGTAGCTCTAATTTTCTTTGCACACCAAAATCAAGTGTGCATGAAGCGACCACCAGGAAGCATTCTACTTTGCATGCTATAACCAAAGAAAAATAAACAATTACACTAATGCCTGCTTCTGCCTTTCTCTTAATGATAGCAGAGGTATTTGCTAGTGATTGGACAGCTTGCGCAGCAGATAATTTTATGTTGAAAAACACGTTTTAAATAGAGAAGGAACATGAATTTGGATGGGTAAAGGAGTGAGGGAGGTCTGGGAGGGGGAAAACATAGTAAATATACTTTGTATGAAAGACTGAATAAAAATTCTGTTTAGAAAAGTTTTCTTTTTAAATAAACGTTTCTCTGGGAATTTTTGTAAAAGTGTGGGATCTTTAGGCAATTCTATGGTTTGAGTACTCTTTGGTGCATCAGAGTGAAGGTTGACGTGGAAGAAACATGGAATTATTGAGACAAAGGCTTAAGAAAATCAAGAGGTGTCTTCAAAGTTGGTCTACTTCAGATTCTTCAAATACCTATTTTCTGTTGTTCTTGCCTATCATATTTTCACTTGCTAGCTCATTGACAGCATGCTTATTTTTCTCTAACTGAAGAGGGATACTTCGGTTATTAGTTTTGAACTTCTCTGAACCTGTGATTTGTTATATGAAAGCAATTACACTGGTGTGTTTTAGTAGCATTAATAACTATAATTAAAGTAAAAAAAATAGGAAAAAGCATTGCCTTCTGAACACAATGAAAACATTTAATTCTGTTCAAAATACTGGGGTATGAATTTCCAAAAATATGGAAGACACTGGAAAACCATAGCACTGTGTGACATTTACTGGTAGTCTAACATATACATATGCTAGATATGTATGTTGCTTTGAATAATTATTATACTTGAATGATAAATATAATATATTATAATTCTTTACTTAATTTATTAAGTAAACCATAAAACAAAGCAAGGAAGAGCTCAAATTCAAGACTAGCTTGGGCTATACCTCTCAGATTTAATGGGATTGCATACTGTATCATTAACCTTCTCCTGTAAATGTCATATAAGAATCTGATGGATCACTTTAATGAGAATAAACACTTGGTTTATCTTTACAGTTGATTGAACATTCCTGGGTGTTAGATCTCAGACCGCTTCATGCCCTGTCTATTGGTACTCACTCAGTAATCGCTTGGGAGCATGACACACAGCTCACTCCTCTGCAGGAGCTGGAAATGTCTGTAGTCTTTTCCCAAATTAGTAAGGGTGACAGTCAGACTTCTAATCACATTCTGACTCTGACATTCCCCAACTTTAGGTTTGGCTGGTAATAGTACTGTTTTAATGATTGGGTGTTTATATATTCCTTGGTTCTGCTTCCCAGGTGACAACAGAGACACTTAACTTGTTTGCCCCTGATGACAGAAGGAATACTTGTGTTTGATTATATTGCAGGCCTCTCCAGGAGAAGTAGCCAACGCGGTGATGGAGGCTATCAACTTGGGATACCGGCATTTCGACTGTGCTTACTTATACCACAATGAGAGTGAGGTTGGAATGGGAATCAATTCCAAGATCAAGGAGGGTGTGGTGAAAAGAGAGGAACTGTTTGTCGTCAGTAAGGTAAGGTTTCTCAGTTGCAAGGACAGCATGGTTTCCGCCACTCCAGTGATGGAAACTGAGAAAACTGGAATAATCGAGCCTAGAGTTTTCCTTGTAGGAATTGGTGTCTTTGGTTTTCAGTTGATTCAGAACTAACAAGGGCTTCTACAGCTTCATGAACCTGCGAGGTTACGTCAGATATAGATTTGCTTAAGGTTGCTTAAAGTTTTTTTTTTTTTTTTAAATTCAGCTGTTCAAATGGTTATGGAGAGATACCACCAATCAATAGTCCATTCATGCACACAAAGCTTGGTTGAGTGATGACACCTCTGTGTCTGTGATGAGCAGGATAAAACTCTAGCCCTTGAGAACTCTGTCTACATATCCATGCCTAAACTTGGAATTACCTGCTAGTGACAGTCAGTGTACACATGGCAAAGTCCACACTAAGAAATTGATGCTATCATGATTGGCTTTATAAGCAGGAAGTAAGTCATAAATCGAACATGAACTGTGCATGAACACAGTGGATGGAGGCTGGAGAAATGGACAGGGTTCAACTCATCGAAGTTCTGGCACATAAGAAGCTTGTACTTTTCCCTGAAACCCAGCGGGTTGAGAGCAAGCACTGTTTCTAAGTCAGGCAGCTGGGTTTCCATACGAATCAGACACGTACATAGGACATAATTATAGCTGACAGGAGGGATGTGCACTTTAAACAGGTTGTACACACAGTGCAGGAAATGATGAATTCTGTGCTGGCAAAGTGAGAAAGGCGAGGTGGATATGAAAGAGAGTAGGAAAATAAGCCCTGTAGAACACAAGGGTTGAACCAAGACTTAAAAGCTGATTTTTTTGGAGGCAGAGTATGGTGGTACACACCCTTCATCATAGCAGAGGCAGGCAAATTCTATAGGTTTGAGGCCAGCCTGGTCTACATAGTGAGTTCCAACAGAGTCAGAGCTGCCGTGAGATGCTGTCTCAGGGAGGGGACAAGAAGCTGCTTTTTAAAATTATTTTAAACCATGATCCACATTGTTACTATCAGTCAATAGTCACATGTTTAAGGTCCAACTATCCTTCAGGATCTCTGCCCAGATTGTTAGACAGGGTCAGGGTCCCAATGTCAGCATTTTTAAACTAAGAATTTGAATTTGTTGAACTCATGAAGAGTTTAAGGAAGTTAATAGTCTGGTGTAATATTCTACCAAATTCCCTTAAGACAAGGTCTTGTTAGTCCCATAGATGTGAGGAGAAAGATCCAAATTGTGGTCAAATTAATTTTCAAAAGGCTTTTTTTATTTCTGCACATGGGCCGTCCCTATAGGTGGGGTTGGAACGATGAGCATTGGACATGGGTAAGAAAGGTAAGGGTTTTATATTTCAGGAGTAGGGGTTTTCCACATAGGAGATTTAGCAGGCAGATTGGTACAGAAGCAGAACATAAGCATAACAAGTTGGTCATAGCAACCTCCTGAATCAAAGACATGGTTGCAAGGTGGTCACAACAATTTCTAAACAAAAGTGTGCTTGCAAGGTGATCATAACAACCTCCTGAAACAAAGCACGGTTGCCATTTCTTGGAACAGACAATATAGAACCATTAAGGTTACAGTTGGGGCATAGTCCAACCTTTGCAAAACAGATTTAATAATCAACATAAATGATCTAGTTTGTCTTTACTGTGAGATTGCTTTCAAGCCCAAGATAGAGGCAGGCTGGTTTATCAGTTTCTCACTGAACATTCAGATAGACTAGCAGCCTCCCATTAAATGCCTTCCCGTGTTGTCTTTTTTTTTTTTTTTTTTATTTTAATTTATTTATTTATTAAGAATTTCTGCCTCGTCCCCACAACCGCTTCCCATTTCCCTCCCCCTCCCCCGATCAAGTCCCCCCCCCCTCATCTGCTCGAAGAGCAATCAGGGTTCCCTGACCTTATGTAAGTAAAGACAATACTTTAGTTTCCCGGCCGCCTAGATCTAAATAATCACACAGAAACTATATTAATTTCAACACTGTTTGGCCAATGGCTCTGGTATATTTCTAGCTAGCTCTTACATCTTAAATTAACCCATTTCTATTATTCTGTGGATTGCCATATGACCCTGGCATTACCCCATTTTCTACATACCTTGTTTTCTCAGTAGCTGGCTGGCATCTGCTTGACTCCGCCTACTCTCTCTCTATATTTCTGTTAGGATTACCCTTAAGCTCCCTTGAGTATGGAAGGCTTCCTGCTGTGAATAAGGATAATCCTTTTCTAAGGGTAATGTCCCTGTTTTCCTTCAGAACTTCATGTGTTGTGTTGTCTCATGAAAGCTTGTGGGAAGCACCAACGAGTGTGCGACCTGTTGGTTTTAGATCGTGGCAGTGTAACAACAGTCTCCCTTCTTTTCTGTAGCTGTGGTGTACCTACCACAAGAAGTCTTTGGTGAAAACAGCATGCACCAATACCTTGAAGGCCTTAAACTTGGATTACCTTGACCTCTACCTCATACACTGGCCCATGGGCTTCAAGGTACCATTCACTTTGTGGCAGGATTCCTGCAAAGAGCCAGACAAATGTCAGCATGGGAGAGAGCCTGGAAGCAAAACATCTTCTTTGTTTTATCATAGAAAATGTGTATAAATATGAATTAAGCTGGAACTTCCAAAATTTGAAATTCTTAGAAATTATATATATATAATTTGATACTTGTCCTTTGATCTACAGGAAGGTATGATTGGTCACAAGAGACAGGTAGTCTGTAAGCCCTTGTTGTTCAGCAGAGTAACTAGGTTTTTACCCCTTAGCATATTTGCCTTTTTCCTCCATACTCTGCCTTTGTATTCTCACTTGGTTGTCACTCATCTTGATGGGAGGTGTTTGAAGAGTGAAGATCCTAATAATATTGTTGGGAGACAATTGAATATTATAGGACATGAAGAAAGTCCCATTGTTCCCTGATTTTAAAAATCTGGATCAGTCAGGGATTCAACCTTTGAGCAAGTTTCATGAATGGGATTTTGCTGGCCTCACCTTCCCTTCATTCTAGGTCTTAAAGTGGCAACTGAGCCTAGAGAGGAAAAGTGGCCCAGCAAAGCCGGTAGGATTTAGTGACAGGGTTAAAGCTAAGATGCAAATCCACTAGTGCAGACTGTACATCTGTGTTCTCTCCCTACATAGTCTTCTGGTGGAGGATGCCACAAGCCCCAATAAGCTCCTTTTCTTCTGGTTCTCACAGCCTGGAGAAAAAGATGTACCTTTGGATTGCAATGGCATGGTTATACCCAGTAACACCAGCTTTCTGGACACCTGGGAGGTAAGTTGAAGCATGCCATCTGGCTACGTCACCCCCACTGACACATACCCTGATGAAAGTTGCACAAGATCTCTCAAGCTTCTGTGTTCAAATACACCAGGTACTACTTCAAATATGGGGTTTGCAGTATATGATGGTTAAATATGGATTGTCAACTGGACATAATCTAGAATCAGTTAGGTCAGGAATCAAACCCCTTGGCAATCTTTGAAGATGTTCCTAGATTGAATTAAATGAGGCTCAAAGGAGTCAACCTAAATGTAGGCGGAATCATTTTTTGAACTGGGGTCTTGGACTGAATAAAGAGAGGTTTTTGGGCACCGGTGTGATTCCCTGTCCATTTCCTAACTATGGATGCATTGTGACCAAGGCCCTCACACTCCTGTTACCCACACTCCCCTTCCATGACAGAAGACTGGTCACACCTTTAAACTAGAAGCCAAAAATAAGCCCTTCCTTAGGTTGCCTTTTTGAGGATCTTGTGCAAATAAGAAAAGTAGCTAATACACACCATGAATTATGGATAAATACTTGAAAAACTGAAGATACCAAAATGAATTTATCACTGTTTCAACCTAGTGTAGTATAGGGAATCATACAGATCACTCTTTTCCCACAACTGTTTCTGTTTTTTTTTTTTTTAAATTAAAACATACCATTTCTCCCCAGGAAATACAGAGTAATAAAAAGGGAAAACTTTAAAAATTCCTATTTCCATAAGCCTCTGGCAATCACTGGCATTGCAGTCCTCTCCTAGTTCCTGGAGGTTCTCTTTTAATTGTTACAGAAACATAATGTTGGCAACATGTAAAGCTCAATTGGGAAGGTGTGAAAAGGAAAAAGTTAGTGGCAAGGTGACGAAGTGTCAAGTCAGTGTCCCAGATCTAGATAAAAAATGGTGAACATTTGAGTTGAGGTGGTAAGCAAGAAAAATAAGGAAGGTGGTGGACTTGAGAGTCTCATGAAGTCAGTGAAGTTGACAAAGTTGGAACAGAGAATAGCAGGACTCTCTGACTGTGAGCTCTGATACTGTTGCTGCCCAGCTTCAGGAACAGAACATCAGCACATTTGAACAAGTTTAAGTATAAATTGGCAAAACTTAGGGAAGAGTTTTAGCTCAGAAGATCCAATATGGAGCCATGCCTGTGAGAATGATAGGTGAAACTAGCAATATTTCAGTCCCTTAAAAAGAGATACAAGAGGAACAGACAGACAGGGAGAAGTCTCTGGGCTGGGCACTGACAGCCTCTCCTCCTGGAAAATTATCAACTTGGAAACTAACCAGAAAGAAAGTGAACAAATTACTTTTGGGGTTCCAGCCCTTTCTGTCACCTTGCGCTTCTGCTCATGAAAGATTTTGGTCAAACACCAGGTGTTTAAACATGCATGGTGTTTATTGAGTGATTATTACAGAATCCTAATTCACTGGTTCCTGTCTTCATCATCGCTGGAGACTTACACCTGATTCTGCACTGCCCTGAAGCTCATGGGTTTTCGGAAAGCCTAGGTACAAGGCTCATTCATCGGAGGTCAGCCCAGTTTCAGATCGCTTTGCCCTCAAATTACTGAAAATGTGTAATGGTGAGAGTGGGAAACAAGAGTGCTGACCCATCACCACACTCAGGGCAAATGCGTTGGTGGAAAGCAAAGTGAACAAATGGAGCCGGCAGTGGAGGGGTCGCTGTAGGTCACCTCGAAGCACAGGCTTAAGAAAATTGGAAATAATGTGGAATGCTCGCTTGGATCTAACTGAGGCCAAATGCTTTGTGTCTCTCATTCCATGTAACTTTAAAACAGCCCTGGTGTGGATACTGTTGTCCACATGATCTTGTAACGTCAAGTACTTTAAAAATATTGGAGCACTATGGCAAGTCGCCAAGGGACATGGCTTGTCACGGGGCTAGACAAACCATATAACTTGTGTACTTAGCACATGTTTTTCTCTTTCAGGCCATGGAGGACCTGGTGATTGAGGGGCTGGTGAAGCACCTTGGGGTGTCAAACTTTAACCATGAACAGCTTGAGAAGCTTTTGAATAAGCCTGGTTTGAGGATCAAGCCCATAACTAACCAGGTGAGCTGGTAGATGGTCAGAAGTTTTGCACGGTGTTATTCTCTTTCCCTCCATGTGGTGGGGAACGAGAAAGGTAACATGTTGGCCTGTGGTAGCTGTCAGAATTGAAATGAGATGACGGGAGATGTGAATGGGCAGATGTCTTCTTTTAGAGCTCATGTGGTTAGGTGATGCCGCGGGTGGGTGGAGTGTGGCATGGATCTCGCTGCTTGGCCTGTGTTTGGAGGCACATGATCAAGTGTGTTCAGAAGAGCAGGGTCCTCTCAGACCCTTCATTCACCCTTACTAAAGGAGGGCAGCCCTTCCCTTCCACTCATCCAGCTCATGCTGAAGAGTAGTGGGTAACCAGGTCTCCACCCAGGCATACAGAGTACAGAAATGAATCTTCTCCCCACGCCCCCCAGCTTCCCTTCACATTTGGCTACAGCACGTATAGTACCCCAAAGCTCACATTTTGTTTGTTTACTGGCCATTATTTGTCACCAGGGTTTAATGACCATAAGTTTTGTCTGAATTTGTTTGGAGGTAAAGCTCAAAACCTAAGCATTTAAAGTTTTTCAATAACTATTTGTTGAATGCATGCAATTAGAGAATTACATGCAACAAGTTTATGCCGCGGGTAACAGCAACAGTTTTTCAGAGGAAACTTGCCTGGAAGTTGATCTTGCTGGATGTGGCTTGGTCTTGAAAGCCAAGGCACTGCTCATAATTCTCTTCAGTTTCCTCTAAATGAGCATTAATTCTAAGTCTGTTCATAACCTGAAATGGGGGAGGTAGAAATAACTTCTCTCAAGGCTTGTTATGTTTGAAACCAAAGTCCTGGTGACAAAAGATAGCCAATAAGCAAATTAAACGTGTGAGGCATTGGGTAATGTGAGTACCATTGGAACCTTGAAGGGCAGGAGGGAGAGGGAGTGGAGTCAGACTGCTCAGGCTTGTTCCTGCATGATGGAAGAAGCTTCACTGAGCAGGTGATGTAGGAATGTCTGCATGACATAGAGGGCTGAGAGTGTGGAATTGGAGCCATTTATAGCATCTGACATCTTGGAGATGCCAGAGACCAACCTACTCATTTGTAGGTGGAGACACCCAGACCTTAAGAGAGAGGCTTTATACCTAGTTAGTGACTGTGGGGACATCAAGTATGTCTTCTTTTTGGTGCTTTTTTGGTATGCCACTTGTCTGGATTATTTTGGTGCACTATGGTTATGTTTGTAGATTGAATGCCACCCATATCTTACTCAGAAGAATCTGATTGATTTTTGCCATAAGAGAAATGTGTCTGTGACTGCTTACCGTCCTCTTGGTGGCTCAAGGTAAGGGCATGTTAGAGATTGTGCTAATCTGAATGCTAACAGATGCAAGATGCCCCCCTCTTGTTTCATTTGAGAGTTGGAGGAGCTTCACTGAGAGAGCATAGAGGGAGCTTCCTACACCTTTCAGGCCCCAGGAAGAATGTAGGTGGCTACTTCGCAGGCTGGAGAGTTGCCTTGTTTGGGCTTCCCTGTGAGGGTAACCAGCTTTGAAAAGACAGACCCAGCCTGAAGCAAAACCCTTTGCTGATCTCCCTGGTAGTTCACCAGTCAGCTACTACCCTCTCAGAGCATGTCACAAAATTCAGAGTCTTTAGATAATGCTACAGTGATGTCTTCTTTCCCCAAACCTGGAGTTTGTACCTTTCCCTTACTGAACTACCTAAGCCAGAACTGTAGATCCATCCCTTTTCCTTATCCCTGCCCAATCCAATGCCAAGATCGATGGCAAGAGAACCTGGAATCTGTCTTTCACTCTCTGCTGTCTTCACCTCTGCCTTAATGAAATGCAGATGGCTTAAGGTTCTTAACTGCTTAACTCCCTTGCAGATCCACCCTTTCCTTTGGGTTACTCACCTGCTAACTGAAGTGATCTCATTGGACACAGTCATGTCCGTTTCCTACTTTAACTTCGTTCTTCCTGAGCCTTTGTGGAGGAGGTGACCTGGCTTCATCCTCCTCTGGTCACTCTTTTCCCCAGTCCTGTAAACCTTCAACATACCAATCACAGAAAACTACTGATAAATGCTTGGATAGAATATTCTTTCTAGTCTTTGCAACTTTGCATATACTGTTTTTGTTGTTTTGTTTTGTTTTTTTTTTATTGAGAAAAGGAAGAAAAAAAAAACAAGTTTCCACCTCCTTCCAGCCTCCCATTTCCCTCCCCCTCCTCCCACCCTTCTCTCCCTCCTCCCATCCTTCTCCCCCTCCTCTCACTCCTCTCCCCCTCCCTCTTCAGTCCAAAGAGCAGTCAGGGTTCCCTGCCCTGTGGTAAGTCCTAGGTCCTCCCCACTCTGTCCATTTCTAGGAAGGTGAACATACAAACTGGCTAGGCTCCCATAAAGCCAGCACATTGCGTAGGATCAAAACCCCGTGCCATTGTCCTTGGCTTCTCATCAGCCCTCATTGTTCGCCATGTTCAGAGAGTCCGGTTTTATCCCATGCTTTTTCAGTCACAGTGCAGCTGGCCTTGGTGAGCTCCCAGTAGATCAGCTCCACTGTCTCAGTGGGTGGGTGCACCCCTCGTGGTCCCGACTTCCTTGCTCATGTTCTCCCTTCTTCTACTCCTCATTGGGACCTTGGGAGCTCAGTCCAGTGCTCCAGTGTGGGTCTCTGTCTCTATCTCCATCCATTATCAGATGAAGGTTCTATGATGATATGCAAGATATTCATCAGTATTTCTATAGGCTAGGGTCATTTCCGGTTCCCTATCCTCATCTGCCCAAGGAACTAACTGGAGACCTCGGCTTGGGCTCCTGGGAGCCACTCTAGGTTCAAGTCTCTTGCCAACCCTAAGGTGGCTCCCTTAACTAAGAATTGTGCTTCCGTGCTCCCCTATCCTACCTTCCTTTATCCCAATCTTCCTTTTTCCCCAAGTTCCCCCCATCCTCCCCTTCTCCCTTTTCTCTCCCCATCTCCCCTACCCCCATCCCACCCCACCCCCAAGATCCCAATTTTCTCCCCGGCAATTTTGTCTACTTCCCATAGCCAAGAGGATAACTATATGTTTTTCCATTGGTTCAACTTCTTACTTAGCTTCTTTAGGATCACCAATTGTAGACTCCGTGACCCTTATTTATGGCTAGAAACCAATTATGAGTGAGTACATCCCATATTCATCTTTTTGGGTCTGGGTTACCTCACTCAGAATAGTGTTTTCTATTTCCATCCATTTGCATGCAAAATTCGAGAAGTCATTGTTTTTTACCGCAGCGTAGTACTCTAATGTGTAGATATTCCACACTTTCTTCATCCATTCTTCCATTGAAGGGCATCTAGGTTGTTTCCAGGTTCTGGCTATTACAAATAATACTGCTATGAACATGGTTGAACAAATGATCTTGTTTTTGTTTTTTGAGGGGTTTTTTTTGGCATATACTAAGAATCTGTAGTTTACTCTTTCTTGAGTTTGCTTGCTCTTGTTTCTGTTGTCATGCTCAGGTCGGGAGCACTGTGCCCTCCAGGAAGTTTCCATGAGCTCCTTGCTGTATTTGTTGCCTTGCTCTTGTCATAGCATCTCACCTTTATTCCCTTCCACTATTAATGCACTAGGTTTCTTTGCACTGTTTGTCACTGATGTCACCTGACTGCAGAGGCCATCTCTTTATCTATTCCTACCCTCAAGCTGGATGCCAGGAAGCTGTTAGGAAGCCAGGAAAGGCTAGACTCACTTCAGTTTCCTTACCTTTGTGTTTTCTTTGTGAAATAGGGTGTGCATTTTTGGACTTGAGAGCAGCTTGGGAGTTCTTAGAAGTCTGGGGCATATTTTACAGCTTAGCCTTGGTGTAGAAGAGTCTCTGTCTATCAGAGGAGCTTATGGCAAGATAGCACCCGCTCTGTCTGGTTCTTTCTGAATGCATTGAGAGCTGTGACTAGCTTCGTTCTTGAAACCTGTTAACTGCTTAATAAAAGATGATTTGCTGGGTTTGATTCCCTAGCACTCTGTAAACCAGATGTGGTAGTGCACATCTGTAACCCTAGCAGTTTGAAGAGGAGGCAGAAAGATCAGAAGTTCAAAGTCGTTCTCATGTTATATAGCAAGTTCAAAGCCAGACATGACACTCTTGTCTAAAATAAAATAAAATGGCTTCCCTTAGTCACTAGGACCCTTGCCTGGATAGATTTTTGATGGATATGTTTATAGTCTTAAACATATCTTGTAAAAGTTTTCACAAGCGGAAAATAGTAACAGTGACACCTGCCAGCAATCCAAGCACTTAGGTGACAAAGGCAAGAAGACTGAGTTTGAAGTCAATGAAGTCTAAGTGAGTTACTCAAAAAATAAAAAGTAATAAGCAAGTAAAATAAACAAACAATAAACTTTTAATCTTAAAGAAAAGTCAATTTTCTAAGCATTTGTGTTGACTGTTCTCCTGACTCAATCCACTTTGCTATGTCTCTCTAGAGATGGGGTTGACTTGTTGGATGATATTGTCGTTCGGAAGATTGCAAAGAAGCATGTGAAGTCTTCTGCTCAGGTATGTGGAAAGAACTGTCATGTGCTGAGATCACACTTTATCACCTCTCCCCAGATCCTGAGCCTTGTCAGTTCATCCTGATGAGTTGATTTACCAGAGCTTCCCAGTTTGGAGCTCTAAGTTGGTTGCTTCCATGTCCTCATCCAGTCAAGCCATATACCCTGCCTTTTTCAGCAGTCAATTGGATGCCCTCCAGTGCCACTTCCTCTGCCCTATCAACTGCATGAACAACCAGTGTGAGAGAGATCAGTCCATTAACATCAGCCTTATCCTAATGTCCTGATCGTTTGGAGAACCAGGCACATGCTGAGGGATTCTAGTGAAAGTGTGAACGAGTCCTCTGTCCTTCTCTTTGGGCTGATGGCATTCATTACAGATTTATTACTTAAGCAATTAAGTTTGATTTCTAAAGGCCTTTGAGATGACCAAAGCTTTTGAGCTCTTTCTGTACAATGAAATTGAACGACCGTAATGCCTTGTTTCCATTTGTTGTATTTCTCTGTGAAACTTTCTTTCCTACAGATTTTGATCCGATTTCAGATCCAAAGGAACGTGATAGTGATTCCCAAATCTGTCACCCCAAGTCGGATCAAGGAGAATATCCAGGTGGGCATTTCCTGATTCTATAGTGTTTCAGATCATGACCTAGAGAGTGGAGTGCTGGCTAACTTCCATAACAACCAACCAACCAGATCTCCGTGGCCGTCACCTGACAGAGGTGTATTCTTCTGTGATCTGTGTTGGTGGTTAGCCTTTCACGTAGTGAGTCAGGCCAGGCTCTTATTATGTCCTGTCCCCCTACCCACCAGAGCTGGGAATCTTCTCCATTCAACCCTAGATGGGGAAAGAGGTAAGAGGAGCTTGTGGGGAAGCATGTAACAGACCACATTTGGGAATGAGCACCTTCATCCCATTCAATAATTCTGTCACACTTACCTTTAACAGAAGCTAGATACGTTCAGGGTATGCTCAGGAGGAAGGAATACAAGCTGGGTGATCACCAGTGTTAGCCATATGGGGTTTGTTCACTAGTCTCTTGAGGGCAGCTGCTGTGGATGTTATGTTCTTCATGAATCAGTGAAAACCAAAGGGCTAGACATCTTAATTAGCAATCCATATACAAAACTCTGATTGAGAACAGCTTTTTTGAAGATAGTCTTTTATAACTTAACCAAGCAGCAGAGTTGAGACCTGATGCTGAGGGTAGAGAATAACGTCAGTTTAGGAGAGGCTCAAGAGAAAGTGCCAGTTAGTTCCGGAGGAGCCAGGAGTTGTGTACCTGAGTTTAACTAGAAGAAAAACATCAAGGATAGTAGACTGTGGGCTTGCCCTTTGAGTTGGTCGAAGTCTTTCAATACAAGCACCTATGTTCTTCTGACAGCTCAGGGAACCCGTTTAGTATTTATTCTAGTACTGTGTACTTCTCTCCATGGTCACAATGACTCTAGCACTGAAACTGGCTCTCTTCAATTCCCATATATACTGTGTGGCTGGTTGGCTAAACCTGAGTATATCAGTCTTCTTAGGGTAGAGGTGGGGGTCCAATAGCTGCCGTCCTTAGGGCAGGGTGAAGCTGCTGGGTGTTCTTCTGTTTCTTTTTCTTGGATTCAGACCTTCAGGTCAGTGAATGTTAGTCACTGTAAGATACTGTTATGGAGGAATTTGATCATAGCCCTCAAGTGTATTAGAGGGCGAAGGGCAGAGAGGTAAGAATACTATTTGAAAATGAAGTTACTCAAAATGTTCTTGTATTATTTGATGCTACAGTCAATACCAGCTGACTTCCGAGCTGATGCGGTGAAAGGAGCAATGATTTTTCCTTTTGAAAGGAGGAGGTAGATCAGTGAAGAAAATACTTTGCTTTTTTGAAACTCTTCCTCTTTGTTCCTCACCCCCATAAGATAAAAACGATATATATCTCATCTTTCCGAGGTTTCTTAAATTTAACTGAGACTAAGCCTGTGCCCACCAAGCAATGAAAATCAAGTGCATTTTGGAAGGCTCGGCAGTCTTTTAGAGGAAGTTCTAAGTGCTTAATAAAAAATTTCTTTCCCATCTAAGTGTCTGTTGTAAGAAACAAATATGCCAATTCAATGGGGTTAATCTGAATTCCCTGTGATGATCTGATTTTGGTTCCAGGTATTTGATTTTGAACTAACAGAAAAAGATATGGAGGAACTCCTCAGCCTCAATAAGAACCTCCGGTTGGCCACATTCCCCTCGTAAGTCTATCTCCTTTACTTCTTTTCAAAGATAAAGGAGCCATACACAAGCATGGTGACTGGTTCTCAAACAATCTTTACCGTTAATATTCAAGGTTAATTAATCCTTACTATAACTTTTCCCTGTTAATTGTTGGGCCAGTGAATAAAGACAATGACTAATTTATACACTGGAGAGTTAGAAAAGCATACCTCTGTCACTTACGATGTTTCCTTTAAAGATGCCTGTTCTCTATTTCTGCTTGTAATTTTTGAATCTTATTTTTCAGAACTGAAAATCACAAGGACTACCCTTTCCACATAGAGTACTGAAGACAGCGTCGTCGCTCGCCCTCTTTTGTTCTCAGATCACCAAAGTTGGCAGCATGGATCCACCTCTGCAGAGGCTGTGTGGGCTCAGCCAGCAAGACAGCAGCAGAGTTAAAAGCAAGGAAAATCCTGCCTAGAACCAGTTCTTGGAGAAACATAAAAATCTAGGGGTGAGATAAGAAAGTGCCATGCAGGCTGTAGGTGTTACTGAGTTGTTAGGGATCGCCAACGACACATCAGTCCTTGTGGCTTCTATCCTCTGAAATGAGATGCTGATGGCTCATGAATTAAAATCTACAAGTCAGCTTCAACAGCAATCAACCTTAGGCCAGTTGTGTTTTTCCTTCATACTACTCTCTGCCCCCACCCTGAGTTTTCTAGATTATTTTCAAGCAAACTCTACCTGCACTTCAGTAAAGGAAAACCATTAAGCTGAGGCTCTATCGCAGACAATTTTGTTTTTAATATTCTTAATTAAAGATTCCCAAGTGTGTCTGTGGGTGGATATGGATGTGTGTATGCCTCTTCACATATGTGTGCAGGTGAACAAACATATGTGTGCATGTATATGGAGTGCTCACTTCCCTCCTAGTCTGCCTCCTAAAAAGAAGTGAAAGGATCTTATTGGTCTGAGTACAAAAGAGAGCTTTGTTGTACGAAAACATTTGCTTTCTATGTGAGAACCTCAAGTTAGGCTCTTCAGAGCAGTGTGGATGAAAGAGAAGTTGGATGTCCCGTTAGAGTGTCTACAGAGGCCTCCAAATATCTCCCACCTGCACTTCACTAGGAAAACACTGACTGACTCTTCCTCAGTCCCACTGACATGGACTTTTTTTTTTCATACTCATAACTCTTTATTACTTATTAATTTTATGACTTTATGCAAGTTAGTTCCTAAACTGAACTTTTCTTGAGTATCAACCTAAAGGCACGATAATGAAATGTCACCATATACATAAAGCACATGATCCCATCATTTGCAGTAAAATCCTTTTTGTGGGTGCACATGAGCACGCCAGGAGGTTATATGGTCTTATCTCCAAGAGTCTAATCATGACCAATCTAAACAAAACATTTTGCATATCTCAGATTACTTATACATAAACCACTGCCAATTTGGAAAGCTTTTCTTCTTTTTTTTTCTTTTTTTTTTTTATTGAGAAAAGGAAGAAAAAAAAAAAACAAGTTTCCACCTCCTCCCAGCCTCCCATTTCCCTCCCCCTCCTCCCACCCTTCTCCCCCTCCTCCCATCCTTCTCCCCCTCCTCTCACTCCTCTCCCCCTCCCTCTCCAGTCCAAAGAGCAGTCAGGGTTCCCTGCCCTGTGGTAAGTCCTAGGTCCTCCCCACTCTGTCCATTTCTAGGAAGGTGAACATCCAAACTGGCTAGGCTCCCGCAAAGCCAGAACATTAAGTAGGATCAAAACCCCATGCCATTGTCCTTTGCGTCTCATCAGCCCTCATTGTTCGCCATGTTCAGAGAGTCCAGTTTTATCCCATGCTTTTTCAGTCACAGTCCAGCTGGCCTTGGTGAGCTCCCAATAGATCAGCTCCACTGTCTCAGTGGGTGGGTGCACCCCTCGTGGTCCCGACTTCTTTGCTCATGTTCTCCCTCCTTCTGTTCCTCATTGGGACCTTGGGAGCTCAGTCCAGTGCTCCAGTGTGGGTCTCTGTCTCTATCTCCATCCATCACCAGATGAAGGTTCTATGATGATATGCAAGATATTCGTCAGTATTTCTATAGGCTAGGGTCATTTCCGGTTCCCTATCCTCATCTGCCCAAGGAACTAACTGGAGACCTCGGCTTGGGCTCCTGGGAGCCACTCTAGGTTCAAGTCTCTTGCCAACCCTAAGGTGGCTCCCTTAACTAAGAATTGTGCTTCCGTGCTCCCCTACCCTACCTTCCTTTATCCCAATCTTCCTTGGAAACTTGAGGAAAATGGAAAGCTTTTCTTAATCGTGATTCATATAAAGGTGATTCTTTAATTTGTGGGTTGTATGGATTTGATGGGGGCAGAGATTAGTCCTCTCTACCCAACTGCAGTGGGAATAAGGATGGAATCCCACATTATATGGGGTCCAAAACTTGTTCCTTTCTGTGTAATGAGAATATAAAATCTCACCACTCCTCCCTAGGCAGCTGTTGGTTAATTAAAGAAAGGCCCTCATGTAAAGACTGTCAGTCCTTTGATAACATGTTTTCAGACTGACTGGAATTTGACAGACATAAACAAATATTAAATTCAGACTACAACCATGTCTTCCCAAAGAATATCTTGCCAATCCCCTTTTTTTTTGGCCAAGGAAGCATGGAGAGTCTCCTCTTATGTCAGAGATTTGGCATCCAGATGTCTGCCAATACCCAGAGAACCTAAACTTAATGAAGATATAGAAACAGTGTTTGTCTACCTGAGTTTCAAGAAGTACACTCGAAAGTTTCTTTTGTTCCTCTTGTGGGAGCAGGAATGGAGGTCATTTTGCTTTGGGAAGGCATTCTTTTTTTTTTTTTTATTGCGAAAAGAAGAAAAAAAAACATAAACAAAAAACAAGTTTCCACCTCCTCCCAGCCTCCCATTTCCCTTCCCCTCCTCCCATCCGTCTCCCCCTCCTCCCACCCTTCTCCCCCTCCTCCCACCCTTCTCCCCCTCCACCCACTCCTCTCCCCCTCCCTCTCCAGTCCACAGAGCAGTCCGGGTTCCCTGCCCTGTGTTAAGTCCTAGGTCCTCCCCACTCTGTCCATATCTAGGAAGGTGAACATCCAAACTGGCTAGGCTCCCACAAAGCCAGCACATTAAGTAGGATCAAAACCCCCTGCCATTGTCCTTGGTGTCTCATCAGCCCTCATTGTTCGCCATATTCAGAGAGTCCGGTTTTATCCCATGCTTTTTCGGTCACAGTCCAGCTGGCCTTGGTGAGCTCCCCGTAGATCAGCTCCACTGTCTCAGTGGGTGGATGCACGCCTCGTGGTCCCAACTTCTTTGCTCATGTTCTCCCTCCTTCTGTTCCTCATTGGGACCTTGGGAGCTCAGTCCAGTGCTCCTGTGTGGGTCTCTGTCTCTATCTCTATCCATCACCAGATGAAGATTCTATGATGATATGCAAGATATTCGTCAGTATTGCTCTAGGATAGGGTCATTTCAGGTTCCCAATCCTCAGCTGCCCAAGGAACTAACTGGGAACCTCATCTTGGGCACTAGGGAGCCCCTCTAGGGTCAAGTCTCTTGCCCACCCTAAAGTGGCTCCCTTAACTAAGAATTGTGGTTCCGTGCTCCCCTATCCACCTTTCCTTTATCCCAATTCTCCTGTTTCCCCAGGTCCCCCCTCCTTCCCTTCTACCGTTTCTCTCCCCATCTCCCCTTACCCCCATCCCACCGAACCCCCAAGATCCCATTTTCTCCCCGGAAATTTGGTCTACTTCCCTTAGCCAAGAGGATAACTATATGTTTTTCCTTGGGTTCACCTTCTTACTTAGCTTTTTTAGGTTCACCTCTTGTAGACTCCGTGGTCCTTATTTATGGCTAGAAACCAATTATGAGTGAGTACATCCCATGTTCATCTTTTTGGGTCTGGGACACCTCACTCAGGATAGTGTTTTCTATTTCCATCCATTTGCATGCAAAATTCGAGAAGTCATTGTTTTTTACCGCAGCGTAGTACTCTAGCGTGTATATATTCCATACTTTCTTCATCCATTCTTCCATTGAAGGGCATCTAGGTTGTTTCCAGGTTCTGGCTATTACAAATAATACTGCTATGAACATAGTTGAACAAATGCTTTTGTCATTTGATAGAGCATCTCTTGGGTATATTCCCAAGAGTGGTATTGCGGGGTCCAGGGGTAAGTTGATCCCGAATTTCCTGAGAAACCGAAACACTGACTTCCAAAGTGGTTGCACAAGATTGCATTCCCACCAGCAATGGATGAGGGTACCCGTTCCTCCACAGCCTCTCCAGCAAAGGTTATCCTTGGTGTTTTTGAGTTTAGCCATTCTGACAGGTGTAAGATGATATCTCAAAGTTGTTTTGATTTGCATTTCCCTGATTGCTAAGGAAGTTGAGCACGACCTTAAGTGTCTTTTGGCCATTTGAACTTCTTCTGTTGAGAATTCTCTGTTCAGTTCAGTGCCCCATTTTTTAATTGGGTTAATTAGCATTTTAAAGTCTAGTTTCTTGAGTTCTCTACATATTTTGGAGATCAGACCTTTGTCTGTTGCGGGGTTGGTGAAGATCTTCTCCCAGTCAGTAGGTTGCCTTTGTGTCTTAGTGATCATGTCCTTTGCTTTACAGAAGCTTCTCAGTTTAAGTAGGTCCCATTTATTCAATGTTGCCCTTAATGTCTGTGCTTCTGGGGTTATACATAGGAAGCGATCTCCTGTGCCCATCTGTTGTAGGGTATTTCCCACTTTCTCTTCTATCAGGTTCAGTGTGTTCGGGCTGATATTGAGGTCTTTAATCCATTTAGACTTGAGTTTTGTGCACGGTGAGAGATATGCGTCTATTTTCATTCTTCTACAGGTTGACATCCAGTTGTGCCAGCACCATTTGTTGAAGATGCTTTCTTTCTTCCATTGTATACTTTTAGCTCCTTTATCAAAAATGAGGTGTTCATAGGTTTGTACACAAAGGACCTGTAGAGTAAAAAGAGAGAAAAAAGTTGTGTGTGTATACATACAAATACATATATGTGTTTATATATACACACATATATATGACATATACACATATAATATTATAAATTATTTTGAAAAAAGAAAAATCCATGATATGGACAAGGAAACTCCAAATATGCCAAACAGCATGCAGCCTGTTCTTTAGAGTTGATTTCTCCAGTGAGACTTCCTTGGGGAAAGTGATATTTTCATTTATAAGTGCCTATCCATTGGGAATTGCTTCTATGATTGTGATGATAACATGTATTCACTTCTTTCTGCTTTAAGACCCCATCTGGTACAGTGTAGTAGCAGGCTGCTTGTTGATTCCTGACTGCCCAGCCCTGAAACAATCACAGAGAAACTGTATTAATTTAATCACTGCTTGGCCCATTAGCTCTAGTTTCCTATTGATAACTTTTACATATTAATTTAACCCATTTCTATTAATCTGTGTATCGCCACAAGGCTGTGGCTTACTGGAAAAAGTTCCAGCGTCTATCTTCGGCAGGGTTACATAGCTTCTCTCCTGACTTCTTTCTCCCATCATCCAGTTCAGTTTTCCCCACCTACCTAACTTCTGTCCTGCTATAGGTCCAAAGTAGTTTCTTTATTCATTAATGGATGATAATCACAGCGTACAGAGGGGAAATCCCACATCACCTCCCCTTTTCT